AGCAAGAGTAAACATTCTTACCTTATTTCTGATTTTAGGAAGAAAGTATAGATCTAGTACCATTAGACAAGATGCTACTTTTAGGTGTTTTTTCCCCCTTCTTTTTTTTTTTAAATGTCATTTGTCAGATTGAGGAAATTCATCTCTATTCTTGGTTCACTGAAAGTTTTTTTTTTTAATCAGAAAGGATGTTGGATTTCATCAAAGTCTCTGTCTCTATATCAAGATGGTCACTTTTTTTTGTCTGTTAATGTAGTAAAGCACACTGATTAACTTTTGAATGTCAAAACACATTTGTATTCTTGGTCATCATACCCTACTTGGTCATCATATGTTATCTTTTTAAAATATTGTATTTTAAAGAATTTTTGTATCTTTCTTCATGGGCAATATTTATCTGTAGTTTTCTTTTTTATTATGTTTTTGTTTGCTTTTGGTATCAGAATAATGTACATTTATTAAAATAAGTTAGAAAGCATTCCCTTCCTTCAAGTTCTTTTTTAATGTTCTCTTATTATCCTTTTATTATCTGTAGAATCTGTAGTGATGTCACCTCTCCCATTCAGATTGGTAATTTGTTCTCTTCCCCCGCAATCATCTAGTTAGCTTTCGTCTTTATTATTTTTCCCTACTTTAAAAAAAATAGTTCACTCTGATTTTTTTTTCTACTTACTTTGGTTTTTGTTTGTCCTTATTTTTCTAATTTCTATTAATTTATTTAGTTTTTAAATTGTGGTCAAATAACATAAAATTTACTACCTTTAAGTGTAGTGTTGTGAAATTAAATACATTCACACTCTTGTGCACCTCCATCTATCTCCCTCTCCTAACTTTTCTCCTCCTTCCTTCCTTCCTTCCTTCCTTCCTCCCTTTCTCCCTTCCTCCCTTCAATCCATCCAATAAAAGCAATTCAGTGCTATAAATCTCTCTCTGAAGGCTGCTCTGGCTGTATAGCATAAATGTCAATGCATCATGCTTCATTTTTATTCAATTTAAAGTACTTTCAACTCTCCCTTTCAAAATGCCCGGAGAATGAAGTGGGGACTGTTTGAGGGGAAGTAGTAGATGCGGGAGAGTGAAGGAGAGGGTGACGGAGGCGGTGAATATGATCAAAGTTTTTATATGCATGTATTAAAATAGAATTGTGAAGCCTGCTAAAAATGGGGAAAAGATAAGAAAAAGTACTAGAGGGGATGAATTTGATTGAGGTACATTATATGCATGTATGGGAATATCACAATGAAACCAGTTTGTACAATTAATATGTGCTAATAAAAAATAAAATAGTTAAAATTTTGAAAAAATACAAAGCACTTGGTATTCTCTCTCTCTCTGTCTCTCTCTCTGGCAGTACTGGGGCTAGAACTCAGGGCCTCATACTTACTAGACAGGCATGTAATTTTTTTATTAATTTCTCTCTTTTCCTTTGAAACACTATATTGCCCAGGTTGGCCTCAAACTGGCACTCTTCTCTCTCCCTCTAAAGTGCTGGGATTATAAACCTGCACTACCATACCTGGCTTTGATTTCTTTTTGACCCATTGTGATTTGAGGTGTTTTCTTGTTTCCAAATATTAAGAGATTCTTCAGTTATGTTTCTGCCTTTCATTCCTTATTTAATTACTTTGGGGAGATAGGACAGACTTTGTATGATTTGAGTGCATTAAAATTTGTCATTTTATGAATATGGTCATATTAAGTGTTCTGTGTGCACTGGAAAAGAATGTGAATTCTACCTTTGTTGAGTGGAGTATTCTGAAGAAGTTAGGACAAGTTGGTTAATAATCCCCTCAAGTCTTCTCCTTCCTTACTGATTTTTACATCTATTACTCTATCAATTATTGAGAGATTGGCACTGATACTTTTGAAATATTGTCTGTTTTTTCTTGCAGTTCTACCAGTTTTGTTTCATGTGTTTTGAAACTCTATTACTTTTTAAAAATGGTTCTGGGGCTTGAACTCAGGCCTCAGACTTGTGAGGCAGGTGCTTTACCACCCGAGCCATGCCCCGGCCCCCTTTTTGCTTTTCAGTTATTTTTCAGGTAGGATATTGCATTTTTGCCCAGGGTCAGCCTTAGACTGAAATCCTCCTACCTACAGCCTCCTGCATAGCTGGGACTGCAGACACTCACCACCACGCCCAGCTTACTGATTGGGATGAGGGGGTCTCTCTAACTTTTTGCCTGGACTGGCCAAAAACCATAAAAAAAATCTGTATATATAATGTAGTATATATCTATATATATGCTACATACTGTTATATATGGTATTATATGTGTCTATATACTTATATATAATATATAAGTATTATATACTTAACTATGCATTATATACTTAATACAGTATAAAAGTTCTATATATTACATAAGCACTTATAAATATATAAGAATATATAAGTATATAGTTAGGTTTTGCTTTTTATTAAATAAGATAATCTTTGTCTTTTAATCAGATTGTTTATGACAGTTACATTTGATGAAATTGTTGATATGGCTGGATTTAAATTTACTACCTTGTGTGTTTTCTAATTGCTCTTTTAAAAAATAAGCTTTATTGAGATATAATTCACATACTTTCTAATTCATCCATTTAGTGCATATAACTCAATAGTTTTTAGTGTAATCCAAATTTGTGATCCAGCATAAAATCAATTTTAGAATTTTTTTTCTCACTCCCTAAAGATACTCTGAATGGTATAACAAACAGACACCTCAACAATGAAGGACAGAAGTGTAAAACAGGCCATGTGAAGGGAGGATCCTGGTGGGAGGGGGAGGATAAACGAAGAAAGTAAAGAGGGTGACTATGGTTGGTGTCCTTTCTATAGAAGTATGAATAGGGACCATTGAAACCTGTTGCGTCACCATAAGGAGGGGAATGGGGTAGGAGGGAGAACAATGGAGGGGATGAAACAGTTCAGGGTATAATATGTGTATGTATAGAAATACCAAAATGAAGTCCCTTGCAACTATTATAAATTAACAAAAATGTTCTTTTTTAATAAATGAAGGACAGGAAAGTAAAACAGGTCCTTCTGGGGATAGATACCAGTGGGAGGGTGGTAAGCATAAGGAAAGGGTGAGGGAGGGTGAATAAGGTGGAAGTATTTTGTACTCATGTATGAAAACCTGTTTAAAGTGCTCAAGTTGGGGGGGATAAAGGAGAAAGATGGAGAGATGAATTTAATTAAGGTATATTGTAAGCACTTATGCAAATATCACAATGTAACACCCCACCAACCTGTACAACTATAATATGCTAATTTGAATGAGGAGGAGAAAAAGAAGAAACTCATTTCCCCTGCCCCAACACTAAGCAACCACGAACCTAATTTTTGTCTCTATATATTCGCTTATTTTGGACATTTCATATAAATGGAATCATACACTATGCTATCCTTCGTGATTTCCTGCTTTCACTTAGCGTTATGTGTTTCCATAGTTCCTCCTTGTAGTATGTATCAGTAATTCATTTTTGATTGCAAATAATATCCTATGGTATGGATATGCCACTTTTGTTTGTCCATTTATCAGTTGATGAACATTTGGGGTGCTTCCACTTTTTGGTTATTATGAATAATGCTGTGATGAACATTCTTTAGAGGTTCACACATGAATAGATGTTTTCTTTTCACTTGGATACATTCTAGAGGAGAATTGGTTAGTTATACGGTAACTCTATGTTTAACCTTTTAGGAACTACCAAACTATTTTCCAAAGAAGCCACATCACATGCCCATCAGAGTTTGAGAATTAGTCCATTTTAATTTGTTTTTTAATTGAGTTACAATAGTTTTATATATTCTGAATACAAGCTCCTTATCGGACACCTGATTTGAATTGTTTTCTCCTACTATGTCTTTTCACTTTCTTGATAATGTTCTTCGAAGTGCAAAGATTTTTCTTCTCAATGAAATCCAATTTATTTTTTTTTTCTCTGTTGATTATGCTTCTCCTTGTTCTTTCTGTTCACATTACCCTGGATCGACTGAGTTGTTGTTGTTTTTTTTTTAACTCAATTTTATCTCCTTTAACTTACAAGCTGTATCACTGTCACGTGGCTGTCATAAACTATTGTCAAAAGTTTAGAGCTTTAATCCCCTCCCACACAAATTTCCTGTTTTACAGTTCTAGAAGTCAATCACCCATAAGGGATTTCACTGAGCTAAAACCAAGCTGTCAGTAGGCTGCACTCCCGAACCAATACAAAGAATAAATTCCAATCTTAAAGGTCTTATTCAAAGTTAGCAACATGCATGAACTAAAATGTGCACTCTCCAAACAAAATTATTGCTCCTTGAAGCTCACATTGTTTCACTGTCTTACATTTTAAAAATTATGGTTAAAAACCACAAAGCATAAAATTAACCATCTTACCCACTTCGAAGTGTACAGCAGTGCTATGCTGTCACTATTGTCATCCCAGGCCACCACAGCTTGTTTAGAGACTATTTCCCTCATTCAACTGGAGGCCCTTTAGGGGCCAGGTCGGTCTTTTCCGCACATTCCCGCAGGACACGAAGGACACAGCAGGTACCCAGTCCCTCTTTAGGCAAGTCTCAGGAATTGATATCCACTTTATAATCAGTCTCTTTTTTTCTCTCCCACTAATGCAGTATCTGAGAGTTGCTACAGTTAACATGTATGAAGCTGCAGAATAATGGATAGTATTACAAGATTGTTGCAAGGGTTTTCATAAACTATACTCGACTCGATGCCAAAGGTACCGGAGAGCTCAAGGAGCCTCACTGCTGTCGGGGAGTCCAAGAACCGAATGGAACGCGCTAGGTGCCTGGCCTCGCCCTGTCAGCGCGCTGATAGGCTGGGGCGCTGGGCGGGGCCTTCCTCTGGGCGGGGCCTCCGGAAGTCCCGCCCTTCCCGCCGGGGTCAGTCGTCAGGGCAACGCGCGGCTGTGCTGCAGTGTGAGTGACGCGTGGCGGCAGGCACCCGGCGCCCCTGGGCACACTAGAAGTCCGCCAGGCCGCTCGCTCCGGCAGAGCGATGACTGAAGATGACGCAGACAGCGTCGCCACCGATTCCCAGCAGAGCGAGGAGACCGAGTTGCCTGTTATTCAGCTGTGCGGGCTGGTGGAGGAGCTCAGGTACAGGCCGGCCGCAGCCCCTCACCGCGGACTCCACCCGAGCGGCCTCGGACCTGGGCTTCAGCATAGAAGCCATCCAATCCCACACTGAACCCTGGCGAGACTGAGACCCCAGTGTAGGGAAGGAACTTTTCTTTGCCTCATTGCCTCTGGGTCTCCACAGTCACTGAGCTTACCGAGCCGTTAATGGAGTCAGGACTTGGTGGACGGCAGGGGGCGGGGGCGACAGCCCACAGGGTCAAGTGTGAAGCGAGAGCTTTAGCCTGGTGCCTGCCTGGTGCCAGGCTGTGTACCTGGGAACTCCCCTGCTCTGCATCAGGTGACCTCTAAGCCCCCTTCCAATGCTAAGATCCTATGATAAAATTAATATGGCACCCTGGGAGAAAAGAAGCTATCGAGACGATTTGACTGTTAGGCAACATAGGCTGAACCAGGATGTTAGCATAGCTTTGATGAAGAATGGCCCAATATTCTGTATTTTCAGCCGTCTGTTTTATATTTACCATAGCAAGTAACTTGGATACCAAGATTCCATCCATGATGTGGTTGAGTTTCATTGTTCAATTTAGTGGCCTCACGGAGAGTACCCTGGCCCTGGCAGCTGAATAGATGTTGCTTTTATACATCTATAAATAGTGTAGGCCAGAATTGAGGCATTATCACTAACAGCTGCCATCTTGAGTGCTCATGATGTTCCTGTATTTTGCATAGATGACCTTATGCAAACTACCAGGACAACAATCCTACAAGATATGCAAAGTGATGTCATTCACTAAGTCAACATATTTTGTGAGTGCTTGTGCTGGAATTCAGACTCTGCAACTTCACAGGCTACACTGCAAACATGATACATACTGAAAAGCAAGCTGCTTTGACATTTTGTCTTTCCCATTCAGCCTTCTCCACTAATCTTAAAATGTAGCCAAACAGGAATTAGCTCAATAATGTTGAAAACATCAATGCTGTTCTACTATATACACATGTATGTGCATTGTGCATGCACACAGATACAAAACATATCCAAGACAAGCTTGATCTGTAATCTCTAGTTGTTTAAAAAACATTGTTCAAAGTTTCCATGTTTATGGTAAATTTCCATTGTGTTCCTGAATATACTGAGTGCTGGAAACAAAGAGCAGAGAAACAAACCAAAGGCAACATCTAAAGAGGTTTTGTGTGTGTGTGTGTGTGTGTGTGTGTGTGTGTGTAACTTGAAGAAGGTTTTAATTCAAAGGAATTTCACAAATAAGTTAGATGATTCTTAAAGATGAAACCAATACAACAATTTTCCATATAATACCAGTGCTCTAAACTTCTTGGTATGTTAAACAATAATAAAGATATCAAATACTTAAATAGTACTTACTATGTGGCCAGGAACTAAAACTAAACTAAACTAAACTAAACTAGTCCTAAAACTAAAGTCTTTGTATGTCTTGTTGTCGTTGTTTCCATTTTATAGGTGAAGAAAGTAAGGCACCAAGAGGCGACATGTCTCACAGAAGGTCACATATGGCCAATAAGTGTTAAGTGCTGATTATTTGGGGGTGTGAAACTCCTCTTAGAAGAACTTACTTAGTATCCTCTGTCTTGCAGCTATGGAAACTCTGCTCTTAAAACAGAGACAGAGATGTTTGAGAAATATTATTCTAAACTGGAACCTGGGGACTACCGACCTCCACGGTTATCAGATATTAAAATATCAGCAGCAGAATTTGCGCAGGTACACAATGGAGATTTGAAAATTATTTTAGCCTGTTTGTCCCCTTAAAAGCAAGTAGTATGTGTGTATCTGCCTGTTGGTGTGCCCTCTTTGGCCAAAGCCATATGACTTTTTCTCTGTCCTACCTTTCTTTTTTGAGTGCTGAAGATTGAATTCAGGACCTAGAGCTTGTGAGGCAAGTGTGGTACTACTTGAGCCATTCCCCCAGTCTTTTTGCTTTTAGCTGCTTTTCATATAGGGTCTTGTACTTTTCTCCAGGCTGGCCTCAGACTGAGATCCTCCTACCTCCACCTCCCCAGTAGCTGGAGTTATAGGCATCTACTACCACAGTCAGTTCTTTGTCCTACTTTTGAATCTTCTTCCCTTCCAAGGTTTGTCTTTCAAGTGAGAAAATAATGTTCAGTTGGTAGCAGATTGACTCTTCCAGAATATCTTAGCTTATATGAAAGAACTCCTTAAATTGGGAGATTCAACTATTTATAAAGCCTAGCCAGCCACGTAAAGGAGTGAAGTGGTCCCCATGTGGACCCTTGCCTCAAAGCGCCTATGTGTAGATTTATCCCTTATGAGTCAAATTTACTTTGAACCCCACACATTCCCTGCACCATCCACTTGTGACTTTTGCTTTAAATGTCTAGAAAATCCAAGGTTTTTGTTTGTCTGTTTTGTTAAACCCTATGCCTCCAGGTGCAATTTCTGGGTTCAGTTCTGAAAGCACTGAGCTCTGGACTTCTTCTGACCTCAACTTGAACGCTGGTCCACAGTGAGTTTATAGTGTTTGCATCCCCAGGCATACTTTTTCCTTATTTATTTTCAGCTTATCGTCAAACATAGGCCCTTGAGATATTTAGTGCGGGTCCTTAGGATGACTTGAGAGATTAGTCTCCTTAGGCCAAATACCAGCACCTGTGTTAGTCAGTTTTCTGTTGCTGTGACAAAACACCTGAGAAAATCAATTGAGAGGAAAGATTCATTTTGGCTCACCATTTCAGAGGTTTCGGTCCATGTTTGACTGGTTCCATGGCTTTGGTCCTGAGGTGAGGCAGAGCATCACACTGGGAGTATGTGGTAGAAGAGGCTGCTCACCTCATGGCAACAAGACACAGAAAAAGAGCAAGAGACTGGGGACAATATAAAGCCCAAAAGACCCACTCCCATTAATTTGGGCCCACTTCCTAGGTTTCCATCACCTTCTAATGGCCCCTCAAATTATGAACCTGTTAATGGATTAATCCATTGATGAGGTCAGCGACATCAAGATCCAGTCACTTCCTCAGAGCCCCACCTGTGAACATTGCTGTATTGAGGGATCAAGCCTTCAGCACATAGAGCTTTGGAGGACATTTCAGATTCAAACCATAACAGCTTTTTTTCATCATGGATTTGTTCTCCCTGGCTTCCTTCATTTGTGAAATTTCTAGCAGGTCTAAGGGGTCATTTTGATGTCTACCTTGACCTACAATTTCTTTCTCTCTTCTTTCTGTCTTTTTCTTCTTCTTCTTCTCCTTCTTCTTCTTTCTTCTTCTTCTTCTCCTTCTCCTCCTCCCCCTTCTTCTTCTTCCTCTTCTTCTTCTTCTTCTTCTTCTCTTCTTCTTCTTCTTCTTCTTCTTCTTCTTCTTCTTCTTCTTCTTCTTCTTCTTTCTCTCTCTCTCTCTCTCTCTCTCTCTCTCTCTCTCTCTCTCTCTCTCTCTCTCTCTCTCTCTTCTCTCCTCTCCTCTCCTCTCCTCTCCTCCCTTCCTATCTTTTACCAATTCCTCTTTGACATTGGCTTTGTTTTTCTTGGGTTACAGTTACGAAGCAGGCGTAAATCCAAGTCCCGCACAGGTATGGACCATTTTATAGGCCTTGGTGTAGAACAAAAACTTGAGCTTGTACAGAAGGAGCTGGAAGACACGAAGGATGAGATAAGGCACATGAGGGCTAATGCTGAACGGGACCTGCAGCATCATGAGGTATCTCTTTCTGTCAGGGTCAGCTCTCCTACTTCTGCCTCTTTAGGAAGTACCCCTGGCATGTTCATGTTATTGTTGGTGCTTTGGAAGAAATACAGGTAGGATAAGACAAATCGGGGACCTGCCTTTAAAGAAACTACCATTTTCTGGAAGAGACAACAAAATGTAAACTTTTTTTAATGAAAAGTTTTCTAAAATATTCAAATAGAGAGAACTAGCATAACAAACCCTTATGTACTCAACACCCAAATACAACCCTCGTCATCATCATGGGGCCACTCTTGTTTCACTACACTGGGTTGTTATGAAGTGAAATGTCATATTATTTATCTGTAAATATTTTAGCAGATGTCTCTAAGAGATGGATTCTTTTTATAAAACATAGCCACAATAACCATGAATACCCACCGAACTTTATAATAAGAGTTTAATAATACAAGGAGATTACAGTTTAAGTAAGTGAATTGGGTGAAAATCCCTAAGTCACCCCTCATGTACAGCATGCATGGTCATGGTCCAGGTCCTGCTGGATTCCAGCACAGCATCTCCCAGTAAGTCTAACACAGTTGGTCCTCAGTGAACAAGGAAACATCTCTATTAATTTGACTGCCTATGGGATGAAGTTTTGGCTTGCTGTTGAGAACTGTGTGGATACAGTATGTCTTCTCTTCTTCTCTCATTGTGCTCACAGTGTCAACCACATCACACCCAAGGACTATGACTTATTTTCATCAGCAGGGTTAGGGGAAACAGTGAAATCAAAGCCAAAAGGGAGGCAAACTAAGGAAAAAAGAGGAGTGGAAATAATTTTGAAACCTTTACCGCCATGTTCAGTGGATTTATGAATCCTTGAATAGTATTAATCCCTATGTGTAGTATGTTTTTTCTTCTTTATCATAAGTTATCACTTCTTTATCACTTATGATAAAGTTTAATTTATAAATTGGTCACTGTACGAGATTCAGAGTAACTAATAATAAACTAGAAGTTATAACACTGTATTGAATAAAATTACCAGCATCATTACTCTTGCACTTTGGGGCCATTATTAAGTAAAATAAGGGTCCTTGAACGCAAGCACTGTGATTCCTCTGCAGAGGAATTCTCCAACTGAGAATGGCTGGTAAGTGACTAATGGATAAACTGGATGATGATCCACTGGAGGGATGATCCATGTCCCAAGTAGGACAGCGGGAGAGCGTTAGATTTCATTACACTTCTCAGAATGATGCACAATTTAAAACATGAATTGGACTGGAGGTGTGGTTCAAGGGATAGAGCACCTGCTTTGCAAGTGTGAAATCCTGAGTTCAAACCCCAGTTTCACTAAAAAAAAAAAAACAACCCACTTATAAATTACTTATTTCTGGAATTTTCCACTTAACATTTTCAGATGGTAGTTCTGCAGAAAGTGAAAATGCAGATAATGGTGGGGGCCTGTGTAATATGTAATATGTGCACTCATTTATAACATCTTTTGTCAAGTTACAGAAGTGTATGAGTGCCTTATTGCCTCACTAGTTCACCTTTCCAGATTTAACTGTGATTAATGCTTTGTTTTATATCCTCTCAGATAATTTTATATAAATGATAATTAAATTTCAGATATCAAATGCATATTTGTAGATACTTGAGAACTTGTTTTCGTTTGTTTGATCCCTTTTATGGATATTATAACTTTTCTGAGGCATGCTTTTTTAATAATAATACAATTAGCCTTGCACCATGAAGACATAATTCTAAGACTAAGGAAGAAGCATCATGCATCAGGGCACAGGAGGCCTGGGACCTTAGGTGTCCTTAGGGGGTGTGTTCTTGAGAATTTTGGGAAACTTCTCTCTTGTGCTGACTCCTCCAGGCTATCATTGAGGAAGCTGAAATTCGATGGACTGAAGTTCAGAGAGCAGTGCATGACTTTGAGAAAGATATTCTAAAAACTGTATCCAAGAAGAAAGGCAGTATTTTGGCCACTCAGAAAGTGATGAAGTACATTGAGGATATGAACCGCCGGAGGGTGAGTTGGCAGGCAAACTAAGAAAGGGAATAAATTCTTACAATGATGACACAGAAATTAGTCATGGGAGGCAGCCTCCCTCCTTCTGGTCCATTGGAAATGTCTCCCACATATGTAGACATTTTTCATTCTGTGAGTGCATGTGTGTGTGTGTGTGTGTGTGTGTGTGTATTACAATACATGCTTACCAAGGCAAAACCAAAAAGTCAAGATGAATATTAGTAGTATTTCAGGTTAACCTCCTCTTTTTTGCTGTTATTTATTTCAAGATCTAATGTATTTTCTTGAAAATGGTGTGAGGCTGGGCTCATAAGCTACTGCATGGGATGGGATAGGTAAATCTCAAGCTTTCTGAGTGTCCTTTTTATAAGGAGCAAGCCTGGGAAAGGAGGGAGAATTAGGAGTAGCATGCCTTTGTTTGCATTTACTTTATAGTGTGTCAAACTTCTGATCCTGGAGACAGGATCCAAACATGCTATGAGTAACCACAGTTCTATAAGCTACCACAATAAGAGACCAGAGTCATAAGACCATCGTGTCAGCAAGGTGGTACAACAGCACCACACTCAAGTGAACTTGGGTTGGAAAGCCATGTAGAAGACTCAGTTTCCTCTGCATGTTGGCTGTGCATGAAATGCCATTTTAATGCCAGCTTAGGCAGAAGTAAGAGGCCCCCCAGTAAATGACAAATGTTAGACTCAAGGTTTAATTTGCAGATGCAGATCTACTTTCCAAACCGACAGGGTAAAAGAAGAGAAATCGATTAAACTATGCTTTTATTTTTTAGGACAATATGAAGGATAAATTATGTTTGAAAAATGTTTCCCTCAAAGTTCAGAGGAAAAAAATGCTTTTACAATTGAGGCAGGTATGTGGTTTGTGTTTCTTTCTTTCTTTCTTTTTAAAAGCAGGCTAAATAATAGCCACATGCCATGCCACATGATGTTCCTGTCCTAATCCCTGGGATCTATGAATATGTCACCTACCATGGCAAAAGGATTTTGCAGATGTGATTAACTTAAGGACCTTGAGATGGGAAAATGATCTTGGATTACCTGTGGGCCCAATAGCCCTCCTTAGAAAGCCAGGCGGGAGATGGAGATGTCACAGAAGCAGAGACCAAAGTGATGAGATTTCTCCTAGAGGAAGGGGTCATGGAGCAAGGAAGGAATACAGGCAGCTTCCAGAAGCTGGAAATGACAAGGGAATGAATTCTCCCCAAGAAGTTGTATTAAGAATGCAGCTCTGCCAACACCCTGATTTTAGCTCCCAAATCCATTTCAGACTTATGACCTCCAACACTGTAAGGTAGTAAATTTGCATTATTTTAGGCTACTACATTAGTGGTAATTTCTTACAGCAGCCACAGGAAACTCATACGGCTATCGTGCAGACAAATCAGGCTTTCTGCAGTCAGAGGTAACTTGAATTAAAAAAAACAAACCCTACTGACATACTTATCTGCACTTTTGGGGAATGTGACTGGGTGGCACTGTTACACTGTGCATTGGTGAATCCTTTAGCAGCTGACCATAGGGATCCTTACTAAAGCGATAAGGCAGACATGGTTTGGAGCCTCCAAATGTGATACGGGCCTCCATCCTTTCCTCACTCAATGTTTTTATCATTTACTCAATATGGCCACTGATGGCATGTGCATCAGAGGTGGGCAGGAGAACTAACATGTCAGGAGCTATTGCTTGATTGACTTGGGATTCACAAAGAGTTCAACAAGCTGGGGCAGCTTTAATGGCGTAAAGTGACTATGGATAAATGTGAGACCCTCCCTCCACTGTGATCACCCTGTACTGCACCTGACAATTAGCTGCATCAGAGGGGATGCTGGGGCTCATGCTGTCCTCATAGAAACAGTGCTCAGACCAAGGAAGGGCTGGCCTTGCTCTGCTCTGTTCTCAGTAGCTCCACCTAGAATGTTGTGTCTCAGTGGGCGCTTTACACCTGAAAGAACTGGTAAATTAGAGTTCACATAGAATGGGTGACGATGGCAAGGGGAGTGGAGACCACATTGGGAGTCCAGGAATTAATAGCCCACTGTCTCCAGTTGTCCTGGGCTGCTGTGGGGAGAAAGAGTGAATGCACTCACTTGGTATGAGGACACCAAGGGCAGAGCTGGGCCCAGGCTGGAGGGTGTCTGGGACTGAGACTGAGTTCAGCTTAAAAGGGAAGGTCACCTGGTGGACCTGCCCCCAGATGGTGAACGCTGGTCTTCAGGGCTTCATGCAGTCCCAGGCATCTTGAAGAAGGGTTGAAGCTTGAAGTGAGGAGCAGATGAATGACCTTTAACCTACCCACCATTGCTGCCAAGATGCCACAGAATGGGCCCTGCCCTCAAGTTCACAGACTAGCGGGGTGAGGGAGGGTTCAGAGGCTCAGTGTAGCACAGCACGAATAGAACAAGGGGAGCAAGGAGTGGGCTAAAAGCTGCCAGAGGCTCTGCGGAGAGCAGGATTACTCTCAGAACTGGAAGACAGGTAAGGTGTGGGGGAGCTGGAAGATGACTGATTTAGGGGCTTAAGGAAACTGTTATTTGAGGAGAAGGGGGGAACAGCACCCCACAGCAGCCCTGAGGCAGCTGATACTACTGTAAATATAAGATGGCACAGGCCTAGCTGGGCAGATCATGGGGTCCAGGTCGGGAGGTCCTGAGACACTGACACAACCGCCCTGCAGAAATGTCATAGAAGCAATTTAAAATAATTTAAAAATGTCTTTTCAGTGACCTAACCCTACTCTTCCTTCACAGCCTTGTTTAGCAGTCTCCCACCGCCCACCCCCTCCCTCCAGGAAAGCTTCCCCTGGCCTGGCCCAGGGACTTCTGTGCACCTCACCCCCACCTTGTCACACCACACTGCTGGGTCAGTACCTTGAGCCTCTAACATGCTTATGCCATAGGCTCCTTAGGCCAGGGAGCATTGAATGAACTCAAGGCTAACCCCAGTGCCTTGCACCACACCCAGCACATTTGTTGAATGACTGAATGATGCCAGTATCTCCAAAACCTCACCACCAAGTTGCAAGATGGGCACCTGCATTCAGAAATCACACCTGAATGTGCCATCTTTTCTTCTTTCTGAACTGTAGAAGGAAGAGGTAGGTGAGGCGCTCCATGATGTTGACTTTCAGCAGCTGAAGATTGAAAACGCTCAGTTCTTAGAGACTATTGAAGCGAGGAATCAAGAACTGATCCAGCTGAAGCTGGCCTCTGGCAGCACCCTGCAGATCCTCAACGCGTACAAAGTAAGGCTCACCTGGTCCCCCAACCTTCCCCCACCCCCCACCCCGCCCATACACACACAATGCAGGGAGTTTCCTGTGCACACTGCTGTTTTACCTTGTACTTAGGTGTCCCTTGCTTTCCCCTGACTTTTCTTGACTTGACAAAGCTATGTTCCCTAAAATTCCCCAAACCCTCAACCCTGGCTATACACAAGAATCTACCTGGTGAGCTTTTACTTTAAAAAAAAAAAACTTACCAATGAGTTGGTTGAGATGAACTGATTGAATTAGGAGGAGTGAGGGCTATGCTTTGTTTTGTTTTTAGTTCTCCAGGTGACTTTCATGCATCACATTTAGGGCCCTGTTTAATTTAGGTATATGTTAAACACGACTCTGCTTAAAACCCTGAAGAGGAAAACAGTCTCTGCAATAAATCAGAAAACTACTAAATTATTTATCATCCAAATGCAATGCTTTGGGGAGAGAAAAGAGGCACTATTAATAATTAAGTGGGGACTGTCAGCATGAATAGGGCCTATCCCCAGCAGACCAGACCATCTGTCACCCTGCTAGTGACTCTAATGCCATGGTCAACAAATTAGGAGGGTGTATCTCACCCACTGGCCTGTGAGCTAAGAATAACATTTGCCATGAGTTGGGTAGAGAACCCTAACTCTGAATCCAATTAAGCAAAATTGATTTCCCCTCCAGAAATTCCATTTTTCTCCTAAGCAGTTTTGTATTCCAAACATTATACTTAGTTATTATACTTTTAAGTTCATCAATAAAACACTTATAGGAATTTAGGGTTTTCTCTCTTGTTAATATAAGTAACTACATAATATGCATAGTCTTGCCTCTGGGCCTGAAAATCTAAAATATTTACTGTCTGGTCCTTTACAGAAAAAGTCTGCTGACTCCTGGCCTAGTGCCCAGGTGGCAATGAGTCTAGGAGCTCACCAGTGGACTTCATTTGGCCCACAGTGTGTTGTTTAAAAATGTGAACTTGAATATGTTTAAACCAGGCTTAGGTTTGTTCAACATTGTTTCTTTTACAAATGAAAAAGGCTCAAAGATGCAGAGTATTTGCCAGATTCAGCTACAAATCAGAGACAGAGCCAGTACTCCCAGCCCTCTATGTCTCTCAACTACCTTCCCGCAGAGTAGAGTGTGTAGGAAATACTGTGCTAGCATTCTGAAGTTTATGCATCATAAACGTCAACAGATCAACACTGCTGGCTTATCTCTTCAGTACTTAGTATCTGACCACTGTTACTTCCAGGCGAAGTCAGTCCCTGTGACTCCCAGTTGTCTCATTGCCTGGAGAGCTGGGTAGCGTGTGGTTAGACCACATTGAACCTTGATCTTATCCTGTGGAGCTGATTAAGTAACACGGGGCCTGTCTGGTCTTGCAGGGTTTGGGAAGTGGAGCTACTGGTTTATATAGTGAAACTGCCAGGTTTCAGGGCCTGAGTTCTGCAGGACGGGTCTAAACTCACAATGCACACACTGCTTACAATACTGGAGCAGCAGCAACACAGGCCACAGGAGATCAACAGGAGCCATTCTGATGCAAATCCCAGTGGCCATCACGACAGGCCCCCTGCAAATGATAGTAAGCAGGTGACAGAGCTCAGGGTGGGGAGGATGCCCCACAGGAGTCTGAAGGTAGTCCCAAGCTCGAGTTGGACCCCACCTGGGACTGGATGGCTCTCTGCTGGGAGAGATGCTTGACCTGTCAGAGGCAAGTTTTTGTGTCTTACTACCAGTTTTATTTCAGCTGTGCGGTGTCACCAGCACCAAAGACAAGCTGGCCAGAATAGGTGCTCAGCTAATATTGTCAAAAGAACTGTGAACAGCTCAGGTGTGTTTGGTGGGGGTGGGAGGGTGATAGGAGGAACCACTTTAACATAAATATCAATCACCCAAGTGTGAGACCTTGTTAAAAACATGCAGAATAACTCCTCTATTGGCAAAAGTACTGATGTCTCCAGTATGCCAGGCACATGGCCAAGTGCTCAGGGTACAGCACTTTGAGCATACAGACAAATGTGGTCTCTCTATTCTGTGACTTTCATGGGGGAGCCTAAGTCTGTCTTCTTGCCCTTAAGCCTGCCTTTTGAGCCAGGTAGGGCATAAGCATGTGACTACAGTTGACTTTCTAAAATAGCAATAGGTGCCATAAGGAAGGAAGAATTTAAAAAAATTTATTATTGTGCTGGGTGGGGACACACTGTGGCATTTACAAAAGGGAGGAAAGAATTCTAAGATGTCCACAGCTTCTGCCATTAGGCTGTGTCTGTTCTATGACTCAGTTATGTTATATGGCACAGTTGGTCCTAAGATAGGGAGGTATCCAGGTGTGCCTGACCTAATCACACCTGGATAAATCACGTGAGCCCACAGGAAACAGAGTTTTATTGTAAGAGGAAGTCAGAAATAAGAAGTACAAGTGGAATTTTCTGGCCAGAAGTTCTCCATTACTGCTTGGAGACACCTGCTGACAGACAGAAAGAAAATGGGGACTGGGGACCTTTGTACTACAACCTCAAGGAAATGCATTCTGTCAACATCAGGGAAATGCATTCTATCAACAACCAGTAAGAGGAAGAGGGCCCAGGCCCCAGATGAGAACCAGTCCTGACCAACAGCTTGATTTCAGTCTGGTGGGGTCAGGGGCAGAGAATCCAGCCATGCAGGGACCAGACTTCTCCCTATTTATAGAAACTAAGAGATAAAAATGGCTGTTGCTTTGAGCCATAGGTAGTTTGTTACATGGGGTAGAAAGTTATGCTTCCTTTGTAGCAGTGGCCTCCTCAAGGCCCTGACATCTCTGCTGAGCACCACTCCTGTAGCTCGCACCACACCTACATGAAAACGCTGCCACAACAGAGGCAGTAGTCATTGTGCTGGCCCTCGCTCTTCCATTCCATCCTGTCCCAAGTTGCTGGGCCATTATCTTCTCTCCACTCTCCTTTTCTCCCACCTGAATGGCTGGTTTGTCCCATATTCTGCCCTGCCTCCCCCCTCAGTTTGGTCTCACTCACTGTGCAGAACATGGAACAGGAAATGAGCTTTAAAGAACAAAGGCCTGGAGGGAACAGGAGAGGGGAGAGGGGCAGAATGGCCACTAGGTGCCTAAGGTCCTTCAGACTGGTTACTCCAGGCTTTCTGCTTTGTCTAAGTTTGACATCCCCTTACCCCCTCCCTCCATCCCCATTTTGACTGCAACCCTATGACTCTCTGTCCCCTTCCCAGCTCCTTAGACCCCTGCCCCCTTGGCTTGGAAGGTCCCTCCCTTCCCTCTTCACAGAGCCATACTTGACTCCACCTTTAACTGGTCCATTACCACCCATTCTCACAGCTCAACTCTTCTTCCGATGATCTGCCTGATGCCCTACTTTCAGGCTGTGGCTGGCCTCCCAGAGGCATGCCTATGTTGTTCTGCTGACCAGTGCTTGGTTCAGGCTGGGTGGGTGCTCTGGGCTTGTTGAAGGACCCTTGTGAAATTCCTGGCTCCTTCCCTCTCAGCAAGTGCAGCATATTCCAAGTCTCAGAGGGCTGATGTCCCTGTGGGTGAAGAGTGGTCCAAAGGGGACCAATCTAAGAAGCAGAGGCCTGGGGGAAGTTGAAGAATAAATGACACGACAGGAATCTTCAAGGTAGCTTCTTCAGGATTCCAGCCTCTTTAGGCTGTGGCATGTGGTGGAGACCACGGGCCACAGAATCACACTGCCTGGCTCCCAGTCCTGGCTCTCCCTGTCTCTGTGATCTTTGGCAAATTGCTTCACCTCCTTGAGGGTCAGTTCCTCACTTATAAAGTGGATGGGGGGTAGTACCCACCTCCTGTGAGTGTCCCTCATCCTCCACCCTTGGAGGCAGTCATAGCAACTGTTGAGTGGTCTCCACATGCCAGGCCCTGTGCTCGGCTCTCTCCCAGGATGTCTCCTGTAAGCCTCTACACAATCCTACCAGTTGATCAGACCAATATTAGAGAAGTTCTAGGACTTACTCAAAGTTTCTCTTTGTAAGCAGTGGGTCAGGATTTGGGTTCAGGGGTGTCTGGACACTCTGCCTCCCCAGCTGAGAACAAGACCCTGAGGTCCTCTCCAGGCTTCTAAAGATTTGGGCACCTGTGTGAAGGGCAGGCCCAAGTTCCTGGATGGCCCTGCTTTCACCTGTCTGCCCTTCCCATGGTCCTGCAAGGTCTTCGTAGTTCAAGACTTGCTGTATTGCTGTGTTTCAGAGCAAGCTTCAACGGGCAATGGAAATGTACATCAATTTGGACAAGGAGATCCTTCAGAGAAATGAGCTACTTGAAAAAATTGAAAAAGAAACCATACAGGCAGAGGAGGTAGGAGAGAACAAAACATGCCTTTTCTGATGATTGTGTCCTGTCCATGCAGGCTTGAGTCAGTGTCCACCAAAATCCCAGATACTTGATCGTTTGTCTAGAGACACCTAGATCACAAAAGCTAAAATGGCTCTGAGCACTCAAAGCGGAAGCTGAACTTTCAGGTCAGTATGTTGGGTGTACTGCAGAGTGAGATTCTAGAGCTGGCTCCTAAGAAAAGCATCTTGGAGAAACAAAATAACATACGAGAATGCCTAAGTACAAAATTCAACATTTTGTGTCCATACCCCATAAAATGCTCAGTGCATGTGGTCATGTAATTGATATGAGTCAAAGTACATATGCTAAAATAGAATGTTTTACGAGAGTGACACTTATAGCCTGAGTAGACTGTAGCAGAAACCAACCAAAGATTGGGAGACAGTGACCTCTGCCTGCTGGTTTGCTCCAAGGCCTGTGGTCACTGTGCAACAGCGAGTGGAAGCCGCAGAGCTCCTTACATACCAGCCTGAGAGTTAGCTTTCTGAGCGTGCATAGGATGCAGGCCAAAGAGGATGCTATTGCGAGGTGGAGAAAGACTGGACTCTAGGCAGATAGCAGGGACTTAATTTGGTACTGCCAGCTTTTCACCTTGAACAAGCCTCTTAAGGAGTCTTGGAATAGAAGAGTGTGGAATAGAGGTCACAACACTTGTGGTGATTAGATGGGGCCACACATAGTGATGCTTTGTACAATTGTTAGTGTCATTGTCTTGAGTGGGTCTGAAGTGTCCTGTCAGTGTGTGTGGCCCCAAACCTGCCCATGGTAGTAACCCAAAAGCCACAGGATTACTACACTTGACTCAATTGTTTTGTTTTGGGGTTTCGTTTGTTTGTTTGCTTTTTAAGTGCTCGGGCTTGAACTCAGGATCTCATACTTGTTAAGCAGGTGCTCTATCACTTGTGCCACACCCCCGCCTTTTTCGCTCTAGTTATATTTCAGATAGGGTCTCAAGTTTTTGTCTGGGGCCAGCCTTGCAATTGTCCTATCTATGCCTCCCATGTTGCTGGGATGACAGGTGCAAGTCACCATCCCTGGCTTTTTTGTTGAGATGGGGTCTTACTAACATTTTGCCTGGGCTGGCCTCAATCCACAATCCTTACAATCTCTACCTCCCATGTAGCTGGGATGATAGGCATGTCCTACTGCTCTTGGCCTGACTCAGTTTTGTCATGTTATCTACATTATATCCTTGATGGAGAACGGAGACTTGTAAAGAACCCAGCCTCATCACAGAGTGGCAGGGGACAAGCTGAAGTTGAAGCCTGGGCACTCTCTCTACACAGGACTCCAGTGGTACTTGGTTCCTTGGGCTGATAGTGATTGGGTTACAAGTGAAACCTAAAATGGATTGTTAAAACTCTGGAAATCACTGCTTAGTACATTTTAGTTTTCTTGTTCACTTATTATTTTTCAGTGCTGGGAACTGAACCCATGACCTTGCTCATGCTAGCCAAGTGCTCTGCCACTAACCCCCCCATCCCCTTGTAACTTAAAAAAAACAGCTTTATTAGGATGTAATTCAGATACCATATAACTCACCATTTAAAGCATACAGTTAAACAGTTTGTGGTATATTCACAGATTGTATAACTGTCAGCACAATAATTTTAGAATGTCTTCATCACCCCAGAAAGAAACCCTTCCCCATTCCTACCTCTCCTCACTCCCACCTTTCAGCACAGGCAACCCATAATCTACTTTCTCTGTAGATTGACCACTCATCAGCTGATGGACATTGGGGTTTCCACTTTTTGGCTATTCTGAGTAGTGCTGATATGAACATTCCTGTACAAGTTTTTATGTGGATGTGTGTTTTCACTTGGACATATACATAAAGTAGAATTGTGAATTGCATATGGTAATTCTGTTTAATATTTAGAGACACTGTCAAATTGTTTTTCAAAAGTGGATGTACCATTTTGCATTCTTCCCAATGTATGAGGGTTCCAATTTGTGTACAATTTTGCCAACACATGTTATTTTGGTTTTTTTTTTTTAAGTGGCCATCCAAGTTAGTATGAAGTAGTGTCTCCTTGTGGTTTTTATTTGAATTTCCCTGATGACTAATGACATTGAGCACATTTCGTGTGCTTAATGGACACTTGCTATCTTTTTTCTTTTTTGAGAAATTCCTACTGAAGTCCTTTACTCAGTTTCTGAGGTTTTATTTTTTATTAAGAGTTCTTTATATATTATGGATTTAATCTCTTATCAGATGTATTATTTGCAAATTTTCTCTCCCATCCTGTAGATTTTTGATAGTATTGTTTGCAGCACAAAACTTTTAAATTCTGGTGAAATCCAATTTATTTTTTCTTTTGCACTTATGGTTTGGTGTCAAAGGTGCTAAGAAGCATTTGCCTAGTCCAATGTCACAAAGATTTGCTTCTGTATATTTAAGAGTTCTATAGTGTGAGCTTTTACATTAGGCTTTAAGTGAGTTTCTTGTTTGTTATTTTGTTTAGTTTTGTTTTGGGCAGCACTGGGGATTGAACTCAGAGCCTCAGGATTGCCAGGGAGGTGCTCTATCACTTGAGCTACTCCTCCAGCCCTTGGGTGAGTTTTTTAAAACATGTGAGGAAGGGATTCAAAAGTTGAAAAAGGAAGGAGATGAAGGTTGATCATACAATTTGTTATATTGTCATTTGTGTTTTTCTCCATTTCTTCCTGAGGATTTGAGTTGCCATCTGATGTTACTTTCTGTGAGCAGCAGATTATGAAAAGCCTATGAGAACTTAACATAAGCACAGTTGTGTTCAATAATCCACAGGCTGAGTTTTTCTCAGCCCTAGCTGCAGAAGGGGGCGAAAGCAAAATGCAGCACAGCTGCTTTTCCTAAGTTGTTTACATTCAGAGAAGTAGAACTGCAGGTTTCTCTTGTTGCAGTGTCACACCCTTCCCCAAGAACTGTTGCTCTACCTTCTTGTTTAACACTGGATATCAAAGACTAGCTGAGGAAAGACGGAGGTTTTTTGATCAGGAATTTGTTGATTGATTGGTGGGCAGCTTGTGAGAATGACACAGCTGGCTGCTGTGCTGAGTTATGCTGGAGATTAGAGGAAACATGGGACAGTGCAAGTCTTGAGACTTTAAGCGAAATTAAAGAAAGCATGGGATAGTGTGAGTCTAAGGAAAGAGACTTTAAAGAATAGAAAAAGAAGAAAGGCTTTAGAAGCAAGGTTTTAAAGAATAGAGAAGAAAAGAAACAAAGTAAAAGAGGAGTTAATAGAGAAAAGAAGCCACAACTTTCTGTGTGTCTGTCTTCTATCATTTATCCTTTCTGCCTCTCCAGTTGCCCCCAGTTATATCAGTAGAACAAGAGCTCATGGGAAAACTCACTACAACTTTCTTACTCCAATGCAAGTTCTTTTCTACCTGCCTACTTTGTACTGCCAAGCATAAAATACTTTTATATGTTCCAGGCCCCCAAACATAATTTTATAAGTATTGTTCTATGCACTTTCTTTTTCAAATCAGTTAAGAGAAGAAATACACAATTATACTCCCTTTTGTAGCTGCTACATAATTATGTTCATTTATTTATTTATTTTAATGTGAATTCCAAGTTACTGTCTGGTGTCACTGGTTTTCAGTCTGAAGAATTTCCTTAGAATTATTATCTTGTAAGGCAGCTTTGCTAGCAATGAATTTTGTATGTTTCTGTTGATCTGAGAATTCCTCTATTACTCCTTCATTTAAAAAATAACATTTTTATTTTAGAAGTTTTAGGTTTACAGGAAAATTGTGAAGCTAGTACAGAGAATTCCCTTACACACCATATTCAGTTTCTCCTGTTTTAACATCTTACATTAGGATGATATGTTTATTGCAATCAATGAACCAACATTATTATTAACTCTTAAGTCCATGCTTTATCCATACACCCTTGGTTCTTACCTACAGTCCTTTAGCTGTTCAGATCCCACCCAGGACATAATTACATTCAGTACCACACCTCCATAAGCTTCCTTATTGTTGTCCTGGCACTAGAAGGTGCTCTAGGTAAATCTTGGATAATTCCCATCCTAGTCTAAGAAATAGCCATTTCTCCGAGGAGTCCTGATTCCTTTTATTTGCTTGATAATGACATTAGAAACCAAGATCTATGTGTGTTCCTTCCTTGCTTGTATTTTTGAAAGATTATTTTTTGGATATTAGGCTCTTGGTGACAATTCCCCTCTCTTTCAAACATGCCATCCCACTGCTTTCTGGCCTCCATTGTTACAATGAGAAGTCAGCTGTTACTCTCATCAGATTTTTTTTCACCTTCTACACAATGGATTACCTTCTCTTGCTACTGTCAGTATTCTCTCTTTGCCTTGTCATCCAACATTTTGATTATGACGTGTATGGATGTGAATTTCTTTGCATTTATCTTACTTGGAATTTGTTTACTTCTTTGGGTGTTTAGCTCAATGTTTTTAAAACATAATGTGGGAAGTCTTCAGATACTGAGTCCTTGAGTATTTTTTTCCTGCTCCATTCTTTTTCTCTCTTTACGTTACTCCCATGACACTAAATGTTGGTACATTTAGTGGTATCCATATTTCTCTGAGCTCTGTTTTCTCTGTGTTCTTTATTTTGCATAATCTCTATTTATCTCCAAGTTTACCAATTATTTCTTCTAATGGCTTAAACCTACTATTGATCCCTCTCTGGTGAAATTTTCCTTTCAGTTATTCTATTGAAAACCTCCAGATTTTCAAGTTGGTTCTTTTAAAATAACCTCGATCTTTTTATTATATTCTTTATTTGATGAGACATTATCATCATGTATTCCTTTAAGTATTTTTGTTTTGTTTTGTTTGACACAGAGTCTCACTATCCAGCCCAGGCTGGCCTCAGACTCTCAATCTTCCTGCCACAGCCTCTTGAGTTCTGGAGTTATAGATGTGAGTCACCATGCCTGGCCTTAAGTCTTTAAACATATCTTCTTTTGGTTCTCTGAATAGCTGCTTCAAAGACCATCTGCTAAGTCAGCCATCTGGAGTCCCCCAAAGGCAGTTTCTGTTGCCTGCTTTTTTTCTCTGTGTGGGTTGCACTTTCCTTTTTCTTTGCCTATCTCATAATTTTTGTTGAAAGCTGCATGCTTTTTGATAATATATTATAGCAACTCTGGATAATCTCACACCCCTTTCTTGGGCTTGTCATTATTTAGTGACTTGGCTGGCCCAGGTCAGCTGCTAGTATCATCTTCTGGTGTTGCTCCTCAGAGGCTGCATCCTTGCTCCTGGATATAGTCTCCCTGACAATCAGGGATGAGTACTGTTTCAGCTGAGTTCACTTTCCTGTTAAGCTTCTGGTGGCTTCTATTATACCACACTCAGCTGATAGTCTCCATTAATGGCTACCTGATTTCTCTATTCCTTTTAATTAATGTCCAGAGACATTAATTGTTCTACATTCTGATTCAGTTGATGTCAGATCCCTTCACAGGAACAAGGTGTTGCCAGTCTTTGAGACTGGCTCCAACCTTTAGGGCCCTTCTTAGTGGTCTTTTTCCCTGGTTCTCTTGAACATGTAGCTGGTCTAGTGTTGCTGATAATAAGCCAGAGCCTCCTCTAAATTGGTCATCCCAAAGATCTCTATTGTTTCCTACAAAGTCCTTGGGCATGCACTCTTCATATTGTTCCAAATAAAATCAATCCCCATAGGCAGCTTTCCAGAGTTCTCTGACCAACAGCTCTCCCTCTCAGCAAAACTCCTGTACTTGGGCTGAGGCTGGGAGCAGCAGACCACCATTTTGGGAGTGGTACCCCTGCTGTACAAGTGGGGAGCTGGGTAGGGGTTTCAGTCCTGGTTTCTCAGCATGTTCCTCATGCCTGCAGTGCTCATGTTTTAGTGCCTCCATTGTTGCTACTTCATTACAGTTCATCATCATCCTGACAAGAAAGAAAACACATTTATAGTTCTGGACATACATTTACACTAGTTAGACAGATGTTCACTACACCTTGGACACATTTTTATTGCCTTCTGAAAACAAGCTAATAGAAATTAATGTTATCGGTTTGATCATAGTGAATTACAACAGTGCTTCTCAAACTGCAAGCTGCAAACCAGTCATGTGGGGACCTTGCTAAAGTGCAGCTTCCAACCAGGTGGCCTAGGGTCATGTGTCTCATTTCTGACCAGCTCCCAGACAATGTCCGAGTCATGGACTGTAGTTTGTGTACTTTGTGCTCTGTGAGGAAGGTTCAACGTCATAAAAATGTTTGTTCCTTTTCAGTTGACCTGTGGAAAAAAATGGTATTCCAATAAAATCAAGGAGGGAAAATGTTTGTTTTTTTAGGATCTAAATACACTGAGTCAAAATTATTTTAGAAAAACAAACAGAGTATCTCCAAAATTCTTACTATATGAATGAGAGGACTAGCCCAATCAGATACAGAAATGTGTATGAGGTTATATTATTTTAAACAAACTCATAAACAGACAAATATGAAAGGCAGATGACGTATATGATCAAGATTTTGACAAGGTTTTGGTATTGATATCTTTAGTTTATGAGAAAAGGACATTTCAGAAAGCCAGACATTTAAATAAATGATCAAGTATGACTGGTAGCTCTCTAGGAAAAATAAATTCAGAACTATATGTTACACTGAAATTATTCAGGTATCAGAGATTTAATGGAAATGATATAACCATTAATGCCTTAAAACAGAACTTTTTTATTATAATCTTTGATTGAGAAAGCTTTTCAAAATATCAACCTCAGAAAGTTTGAAGTCAATTAACTTAGTTACATAAAAATAAAAAATGTTTCTGCATAGCACAAAGCATCATAAGCACAGTCAAAAGATAAATAACTGGGAAAAATATAATATCACAAAGAACTAATTGTCTTAAAACAAATGAATAATAAATTAATAAGAAAAAAACAACTAACCAAAAAATGAGTTTTAAACAGTGTACAGAAAAGCTAAAGTCTTAAACATGAAAAATGTTCTACCTCATAACATGAGAACACAAAATAAAGATATAATGGGATGTTCTCTTTTGTAAATTGACAAAGATCAGAGTTGATAACACCGTGGTGATGGAACAGGAGAAACAGGCATCTCACACATGGCTGCAGAAATAAGTTGGCTTGATCATTATGGAGGGAAATTTAACACAAATTACCAAGCACTAACACACACCTGTACTTGGGGCATGGCTTCTCAACCAAGCCACTACTGATGTTTGGGCCTGGATCATTCTTGTTTGCAGGGGGCAGGGGAAGGGTGTTTTGGGTATTGTAGAATGTTTACTAGCACCTGTGGCCTCTCCATACTACTTACCAGGAATACCTACCTAACTGTGACAAAAGTATCTCCAGACATCAAATGTCCCTTGGGACATTGAGAACCAATGCCTTAGAAGAAGCACACTCTTTGTAGCTTATTGTAGTGATAAACTTGCATGCTAACAATATGACTTTATGCAGAAGATTAGTAATTACAGCATTGTTTGTTATAACAGCAGGAGTTTGAAAAGATGTTTGTGGGAGGCTTGTTAAATTATTGTACCTTCCCAAAAAGAATGAGCAAATTATTTGTGTTGAAGATCTTCAACACATTTTCAAGATTTGGGTGAAAAAAGGTATACAAATAAAAGTTAATAGAATGTGCTTTCTTTTGGGTCCAGAAAAGGGAAACATTTTGCATAGGCACAGAATTCTAAAAGGATATATAAAACCTAAAAGTAGTGTGTGCTTTTGGAAACAGACCTTCATGACAGGGATAAAAGAGTGAAATGGGGGCTTGTCACTATATACTTTTGGACCATCTGAACCGAGAATCCTAGGATGGGATCAAGTCTTGTTGGCTCCATGTTACCAGTGAGGTTTGTCAAGTTTCCCATGCCGCCAACATTTTTGTTTTGGGTTTTGTTTTTCAGGCTAAAAATACAGATGTTTAGACATGCTGTTCTTTGAATGTATTGCCTACAAAAAGCAATGGATAAAAATTAAAAGGACAATGTTAATTTTTAAAAATCTACTCAAAGAAAAAAGCATAGTTTCACTGTACAATAATTTTAAAAATTAAAATTGAAAAGACAAGGACTATTCAAAACTTTAATTGCCACAGGTTCTAGTAATTTTCTTTTGGGGTTTTGGGTATGTAACTACAAGAATTAAAAACAGGGACTTGAACACCCACGTTTATAGCAGCATTTTTCACATAGCCAAGAGGTGGAGGCAACCTGGTGTCCATGGGTAGATGAATGAATGAACAAAATGTGGTGTAGACATCCAAGGAAAGTCATTCAGCCTTAGAAGGGAAGGGCAGTCTGACAAATGCTGCACTCAGGATGGACCTGAGGATATTATTGTGTGTGAAATAAAAAGGTCACAAAAGGACAAAGACTGTAGGAGTTCACTTACGTGAGGCACCTACAGCAATCCATAGAAATGTGAAGAATGGTAGCAACCAGGAGCCATGGGTGTGGAGAAGGGGGAGTTATTATTTAAGGGACAGAGTTTCAGTTGGGGAAGGTGGAAAAAGTTCCGGAGGTAGATGGCGCTGATGGTTGCACATCAGTGAGTGTATTTCATGCTATCGAACTGCATGCTTAAAAATAGTTATGTGTATTTTACATTAAAAGACAGAAAAATGGATTGATATTAATGACATCAAAGTATACTTAAATATACAAATTTTTCGCATGTATAAAAACTTAAGAAAACTTCAAATTCCAAAGTAAAGAAGGGAAGAAAGACAAGGAGAAAGGAAAGCCAGGCATGATGGTATCCACCCGTAATCTTGGCATTCAGGAGGCAGAGGCAGGAGGATTGAGAGTTTAAGGTCAACCTGGGCTACATTGCAAGTTCAAGGACAGCTGGGCATGGGAAGAGAGGAGGAGGGAAAGAAAAGTCTGGTGTTTCTGAAGTGGATTGAAACTTCATGATCTGGCTGGGCGTTGTGGTGCATGTCTGCACACAGGAAGTAGAGGTAAGAGGATCTGAGGCTAGGACAAAAGCTTGAGATCCTCTCGGAAAACAAACTTTAAAAAGCAAAGGGGCTGGGGACATGGCTCAAGTGATAGAGTGCCTGCCTAGCAAGCACAATGCCTGATTCAATCCCCAGTACAGCGAAATAAATAATAAATAAAATAAAATTCTGAGCAAAACATTTTTAGAACTGCTTTGAGACTCTGGAGGAACGGTGGCAGGGCCAGCAAGTCCTCAAAGCAGGAGCCTCCAAGTTTCCCTGGGATAACCCTACATCTTTTTCAACCCAGGACAGGGCCAAAGCAGAAGCTTTGAATAAGAAGCTAAGGAAGCAGCTGGCTGAGTTCCGAGCACCACAGGTGATGGTGTATCTCAGAGAGAAGATCCTAATGGAGATCTGGAGAAGACCATCAAGATGTGGGAGAGGAAGGTGGAGATTGCAGAGGTGAGTCCTGGAGATCCCAGGGCCAGGTCGAACCTAGTCGACCCCATGCTGTCCACAGGGTTCCTGAGTCTTTCAGGTCCACTACTTTGTTTAGGGTTTTGTTTTTTGAGTTAAGATTTGAGAGATGTTTGGATATATTATGTCTGTGAGAAATGTCAGCAATTGCTTCAACTGTTATATCACTATGAGGGATTTTCTTTTTAAGCTCCTTTTTCATTGTTTCGGACCAGGTCTTTTCATCAGGAAGAGACTCTTGTAATAGTGTTTTTAGTCATTTATTTCCATAATGAATCCTAGAAGCTTCTGATTCCCCAGTGATTGCTACTTTCTACATGGAAAACTCAGTTTTGGGGGTTTTTTAATGAGAAAATAATGAATTTTAAATGTCAGAACCTGATTCCATGCATATATATAGTTGCCACAGGTCTTGGCATTTGTAAGCCACCCCACAGCCCTCGGGTGTGATTCACTGTGCACAGAGAGCACCCTGGCCCCTAAGAAGCTGTGGACAAGAAAAGGGCAATGTGAAAGCAACACACACTGCCAGAAAAAAGGACAGCACAAGGCCACAAGGCCACTTGCAAACCGAGACATCATTAGGCTGCTTGGAAAACTGGGAGCCTGGTCTTCACCTCTAGATCCAGCTTCATTTCCCGACACTTCCTCCCACCTCCTTTGTGATCATTTGGTGGCAAGGAGGAAATTAGGATCCAAACATGGGCCTTTTGAATCAGGAACTGTGAAGCAGTAGAGAATGGCAGCAGGAACCTGCCATGTCTCACTTCTGAGAGTCTCAGGGTGAGTGGGTGGCCCCTGCCCCACAGCAGGGCACTGCAGGGCACTGCCCCCCACATGGTCACCTGCACCCTCAGCAGGGCTAGAGACATTGTATTTAGAATAGCCACACTTAGTTTTTCCCAAGTGACCTCTCCCCCTCCCCCTTTTTCTGTTTCACAGATATCCTTAAAAGGCCACCGAAAGACTTGGAATAAAATGAAAACAAGCAGTGAGCAGTTGCAGGCCATCTGTCGCTCTGGGAAATAGCAGGGAAAGGCCATGGCCTGTGGACCAAGACATGATTCCATTAAAGTACTCTGTTCTTTTCTAGTTGTGGGGTCCTCTCACTGTTCCTTGTGCTGGCTGCCCCCCTCCAACTATCCAGCCAGGCTGACTGTCACCTCCTGGGCCACATCTGCCCATGGGAAGTGTCTTCCCAGCCTGGTCTCTGGAACCGTTACCATTGAAAGAACCACAGGGCACTCTAACAATTTGACACTTGTTAGCCCACATTTAGTTCACAAGCACAAACGAAAGTGACCTTCCACATGTGGGAGTGAGACAGAGGAGGGAGAGCCAGTCCCGTGCGTACCATGGGCCTGTCCGTGGCAGCCCAGGCATGCACCCATCCAAAACAGACACTAGACAGTGTGGTGAATGCCAGTACTCTGTGCTTCCTCTTCAGTGGGGTAGGTTAGCTCCCAGACTAGACACCGCTGCCAAAGAACACAAGCACGAAGAAAAGCAAGCTCATTTCTTGGGGCTGATGCAGCCTGTTCTGCCCTGCAACAGACCCAGCCTCCTCAGACTCCCCGCCATAGTAGTCATAGTACATAGGTTGAATGGCCTCCTGCACGGTCCTGTCTGATTCCTGGAGTCCCTTTACCCTAAAGTTTTGGCCATCTCGAGAGCCATTCACCAGCCGTAAATGAAAAGTGGACCTTTTCTGTCCTTGGGAGGAGGATTGGGTCCATTCCATGTGGTCTGTTTCAGAACGCATACTCTGTGTTATGACAGTTTGTGATTTGTAATAGAGGATGGGGATCATCTTCTCCCAGGGGTGGAGCGGTGTCAGGGAAGGGCCGGCCCTCTTAGCCTTGGACATGATCCAGTCACTGTACTCTTCCACCCTGGTGTACAGAAATAGGCCAGGGCATGCGTTGCCTCCTTTGGTCAGGATCCCTCTGAGGACCCACAGATTCAACTCCTGTAGCTGGCACATCATGGGGCTTCCTGGTTCTCCCTGTGACAAAGGACAGAAGGCTTTAAGGCTTGGTACAACATTTGAGCAAATCCTCGTGCAACTTTCTGCTTGTTCTAAAAATGTTTTGCACTTGGTTTTCCATGGAAAATGGGACAAATTATGGACTACTTTTTCAAACCTGGATAGCCAGCACCACAAATTCCAACATGGTGACTTGCTTTGTATTAAGCAAATGATTTGTGGCTCTCTGAAGACTGCCTGTGGCTTCCTGGCTCATCGTTTTCTTGGCCCCTTCAGAGTACCCTCTCTTTTGGCTTCTCATTCCTCTGATGCTGGTGCTCCTTTCCTTTCTGGCTCTGAATGCTCACACTTCCTCCTTTCTCCTCTCTTTCTTACTTCCATCCTTCCTCTAATCTGCTCCCTCCCACATGCAGTCCTAAGACTTCAGTTCCATGGAGCAACACTGGGCTGGGTTCACAGCTTCTCCATCACCACTGCCCACTGTCCACTGCTCACAGTCCTGCCCTACTAGGACCTTCCCCTTGGCCTGCTTTAGGTAGGTATGCGACCCTGGACAAAGGAGCTAGTTCTTTCCAAGCCAAAGTGCGGATGAAGTTAATAATTATGACACCTACAGAGCACCTTCCAACAGCACCTGGCACACAGTGCACACTCAATGTCTGTAAAGGGTCATTGTTTCTCTGCAAAAAGCTGCAGAAAATGGGGGAAAGGAACAAGACAAATGCTAGGTATGATTTGCCCCACTTGCCTCCCCCTGCTTACCCCAGTTCTCCTCTTAAAGCGATGCCCTGTCCCCGACCCCATGCTCCCTCTTGGTCTGAAGGGAAGAGTAATGAGTTGGCTCTTTGACTAGTGTGGCCTACCTGACTGAAAGAGCTGGGCAATGCCATGTTGTTCTTTCTGTTTGTTGACTGAGACAGTAGGGGTGGGGAGGCTGTAGCTCACCACAGGAAACAGTTTAAATGGACTCAAAGGGGGAGAAACAGAAGGTGGTCACCAGTCCCTTCCCATCCTGGGTGTTTGGTCTGCCTGGTGTGTCCCTTTCCAATGCACCTCAGGAAGCCACCCCAGAGCTGGGTGAGCAGGTCAGCAGGGAGGCATGCTCTGCAAAGCCACCATCATGCCCTGCTTGTCTCTCAGAAGACCAAGGCCAGCAGACATCCTGGACTTTGTTCTGTGCTTCTCACTCAAGGGAAGGGTCTTCACAATCTTTGTGTCACTCCACACTGCTGAACAGCAGAGGCTAGATATTTCATTCCAGAGTTCTGGCTCATTACCTAGGACTGGTGAATGGGCCCTTGTCCACACCCATTAAGTCTGCTGGGGCCTGAAGGCTCTCTGTTTAAAAATGGTGTGGTCTTCAAACTCTAAAGTTGATACAGGAAAGAGTAGGAAATACTCTGGAGTTAGTAGGTATAGGCAAGAACTTTCTCAACGAAACCCCAGCAGCACAGCAACTAAGAGATAGCATAGATAAATGGGACCTCATAAAACTAAAAAGCTTCTGTTCATCAAAAGAAGTGGTCTCTAAACTGAAGAGAACACCCACAGAGTGGGAGAAAATATTTGCCAGCTACACATCAGACAAAGGACTGATAACCAGAATATATAGGGAACTTAAAAAACTAAATTCTCTCAAAACTAATGAACCAATAAAGAAATGGGCAAGTGAACTAAACAGAACTTTCTCAAAAGAAGAAATTCAAATGGCCAAAAAACACATGAAAAAATGCTCACCATCTCTAGCAATAAAGGAAATGCAAATTAAAACCACACTAAGATTCCACCTCACCCCTGTTAGAGTAGCCATCATTAGCAACACCACCAACAACAGGTGTTGGCGAGGATGTGGGGAAAAAGGAACCCTCTTACACTGTTGGTGGGAATGTAGACTAGTACAACCACTCTGGAAAAAAATTTGGAGGCTACTTAAAAAGCTAGACATTGATCTACCATTTGATCCAGCAATACCACTCTTGGGGATATACCCAAAAGACTGTTACTCCAGAGGCACCTGCACATCCATGTTTATTGCGGCACTATTCACAATAGCCAAGTATGGAAACAGCCAAGATGCCCACACTGAATGAATGATTAAGAAAATGTGGTATCTATACACAATGGAATTATGCAGCCATGAAGAAGAAGAAATGTATCATTCGCTGGTAAATGGATGGAATTGAGAACATCATTCTGAGTGAGGTTAGCCTGGCCCAAAAGACAAAAATCGTATGTTCTCCCTCATATGCGGACATTAGATCAAGGGCAAACACAACAAGGGGATGGACTTTGAGCACATGAATAAAAGCGAGGACACAAGGGAGGGGTGAGGATAGGTAAGACACCTAAAAAATAGCTAGCATTTGTTGCCCTTAACGCAGAGAAACTAAAGCAGATACCTTAAAAACTGAGGCCAATAGGAAAAGGGGACAGGAACTAGAGAAAAGTTAGATCAAGAAAGAATTAACCTAGAAGGTAAACACAAGCACAGGAAATCAAGTGAGTCAACTCCCTGTATAGCTATCCTTATCTCAACCAGCAAAAACCTTGTTCCTTCCTATTTTGCTTATACTCTCTCTTCAACAAAATTAGAGATAAGGGCAAATAGTTTTCTGCTGGGTATTGAGGGGGTGGGGGAGAGGGAGGGGACGAGTGGGTGGTAAGGGGGGTGGGGGCAGGGGAGAAATGACCCAAGCCTTGTATGCACATATGAATAATAAAAAAAAAAAAAAATTAAAATGGTGTGGTCTTGCATATGTGGTGGTTTCACACCTATAATCCCAGACTGAGGCTGGCTTTGGACTACACAGTAAGTGTAGTAAAACTCTGTCTTCAAAACAAGAAAACGAAGAAAAAAGAAAAAGAACAGTGTGTCTCCTTCCTTTCAGAAGTCCTGTTCCCAGTTGGTCTTAACTGCTTGACAAAGAAAAGAATGCAATTTGGAATGCATTTTGATGAATGATTGAATAGTAGACCACCCTGGCTATTGCCTGTTTTTGCAGGTTGGTAGTTGCTATTCCCCTGGGTGCCAAATGTGCTGATTTTCCTCTTCCCCATAATCCTATGACACTGTGGCTTTTGAATCAAAAGCAGCTGAGACAATCAGTACCAGGTGTCCCTCTGGAGTAACCCTATCTCATTTCCCAGGGTGGCAGGGCACCACAACACAGAGGGGCTCTTTCATTGAGTGACCTTCTCCCTTAACATTCCACAAAAGCCCTAGCAGTTGTAAAAAAATAAAATAAAAAGGGGTGGGGAGAGTTCAGAGTGGTTCTGCTTTTGTTGTGTTGCTGGGGAAACCCCTTAGACACTGAGCCTGGCAGTATATTCTATAAGTGACAAGTGTGACTTTTAGTTCCCCTAGACACTACATCACATTTTCAAGAGAGGGAAAAAAATTCTAAATGGATAAGTCATCATTAAATGGCTTGCAAGCATGAGTCTGTTCAAAACAAAGTATTGTTTACAGGTGTAACCACAACTGAAAATCAACCTGAACTTGGAAGTGAACTTGAAAAGGTGATCATTGGGTGATCATTTACATATTCTTGAGTCAAAATACACTTAAGCCTTAATACTTTGAGACTAGGAGTGTCTTTAATCGGTTGATAGCAGAGTTTAAGTGACAGTATTCTTTTCCTTCTTGGCATTATGGAAAATAATGTGGATTCCCATTTGCTGTCTTCTTAGATGTAATGAAGTATGACACTGGATTGATGGAATTTTGTCAACTGGGCCTGGTGCCAGTGGCTCACACTGGTAATTCTAGCTACTTAGGAGCAGCAATCAGGAGGATCTTGGTTCAAAGCCAGCCAAGGCAAATACTTCGTGAGACCCTGTCTTGAAAATACTGAGTACAAGAAAGGTCTGGGTGCACTAGCTCAAGTGGTAGAGCACCTGTCTAACAAGCACAAGGCCCTGAGTTCAAACCCTAGTACCACCAAAAAGAAATTTGTCAACCAGAAATTGTCTTCTACTGGTAAATCAAACATATTATCTAATGTAAGAAGTTGCCAAAGTGCTCTACCTGGCAGAGGGCCCA